CAGTAGGTGAGGAAATCTTCAACAACATTTTTTAAGGGGGATAAAAGGAATAAAAAGAAAAAAATACTGCCCTGCATTAAAAAAAAAGTTTTCAGTCTGGTCATTTTAGTCAGTCGGTCTGAAGAGGCCGACAACCAATCATTTTTTAAAGATGGCCTATTTCTACACTTCATGGACATTAGCTCAACCATTGGATTAGATAGTCTTAGAATCTAAATTGAAATATCAGACAGAACAAAATAAAGATGAATTCTAAGTGACATCAATCCATACTTTAATAATGAGTTTACAGAGTACTTCTGATTTCAGAGAAAAGGCAAATTCTGCAAAATGACATAACACTGTCATTATGATAAATATTTGTCAAGAACAGGTAAAAAGAAACAATGCTACAGTTATAGATATACCCGGTATTTCCTTGATATCCATGAAATAATAGTTTAAATATAACAAAATTTTCTGCTTTTTAAAATCAAAATACATGAACAAATTTTAAAAGATTATAAGTGTAAACAATTTTAAAATAAACTACATGTATTTGTGAAAAAAAATTTAATTTTATTAGATTACTAAATTGGTCTTATCATTCCTACTAAATTAACAACCTGTCAATTGCCAAGTGTCATGTTTTAAACTGTTACAGTAGATATAATTATGCATGTTCACTGCAGCTTTATATACAAAACTCGTCAGTTTTCAGAAATACTTTTTTGAGCATATTAGGTCCTGGTAAGAACAAAATTTAATGAATAAAGATATTAATTAATCTTAATTGTTCATGTATTAATTACCTTGCAATTTTACAAACCCTTTTAAGAAATTTGTTACATGTAAGTATAGACAAAAGCAACCTTCAATTAATACCTATGTAGTATACATTTATTTTACTGAAAACAAATTCAAAGATGGACAAGCAGAGCATGAACTGCAATCATCGCATAATGATACACATCTTTTCTAAATATATGGAAAAAAGCATGTGTTTACTAGATAAGGATGTTGTTGTCTATAATCTATAGACATATAAAAATATGCATTGGGTATAACAAGTCAGAAGTTTTTCTCCAAATCTCCATTGATTTTGCCATGTCTGGTTCAACATCTTAGCTTGATCCATCCAACTTTCTTTAATATTCTTGAGCTGATATGGGATGACCTCTACTTTGATTGATGGCACAAATCTTTTTAGGAAACACTGAAGTACTTTTTTGGTTCTTATCTATTCCAATTAATGACCCATGATCTGAAATCACATGCGTTCATTTTTACAATAACGTTTAAAGAATTGCATTTTTTGAATAGCATAAGGAATTGCACTGAGTTTCATTCATTAAATGAAATGAATAAATTTCCAATATAATGAATGAAGAATCAATATGAAATTATTGTAAAATTTACAGATTGAATTAGTGAAATTAAAATGCTTGATCAAGAAAATTAATGTTCTTGTCATGCACAATCTGTATCTCTTTTTATTAATTAGAAAATGGGATATTAATTAAAATCAAACCTCATTTAAAAAGGTAACTTGAACAATTGTATATCTGTTCTGAGGCCTAAACATCAAGGATTTTATTTTTCATAATTTCTTGAATGAATGCATTTTTTTTAAAAAATTTTTTGGCAATGTTGGGATATTAGTCACATCCTGACATCATTGTACCGTTTGTTCATCGTTTTTAGTCAGTAGATCATTCATAACTTTCAGTAAAATGAATAGTTAAATAATTACCTGATGAAACTATCAACAATCAAACTGTCAACATCATCATTGGACTTGGTCAAATGCACCGTGACTTTTCTGCCCTGTTCGGACTGCATATAGCATAATACTTTACAGGATACTCTCAGGTTTTTTCTTTTTTCTTTCCCATTCTCACTTAAATTTAGTGTAGTGGTGAAGCGAGAAACACACATCGGCATGACTTTCTTCTGATCGGAATTGCCGTGCAACTTGCCACGTTTCGTATCGAAAATAAACAAGTCCTCCTTTATTGGTTCATCCATATGTATCACGCTAATCTCAAAGGCTTCTAAGATTTATATGCTTTGATTTGTTATAAGACTTTCTCCTGAAAACGTCCTTCGTTTTTAATCCTAACAAACATCAAGTATGACAGAGGAAATTCGTCACGGAGATGCTTAGCATCGCTAGTTTAAATTTGCCTGTTTCAAACGCTTTGGTGATTCGCAAGAGTTATCTCCCTGTTAACGCAAACCTTACCTTAAATTGGAATTGAATTCACAATAAACTGAATATAGCATATATAATTTTTAGCTTCTGTGAAAGTCTCCATAAAGTTTATTTAGTTCAATAAATACAGTTTCGAATAAGAGATTGGTATTCCAAAGCATAAAAAAGCAAATAACAGATGTACAGCTGGACGGGCGAACATTCCAATTTGTTTTAATATTCCTTCGCTTTTACTGCCTTATACAGTGTAACTATAAATTCCATTTCAGGCATTTCAATCGAGGATATTTCGAATTTATTGAATACCACATATACAGAAATCTAGATACAATATATATAAAAAGACATTAAGGTCCATATTTGGTATTTTTTACATAATTCAACATATGGAAAGTGATATGTTTTTGTTTTTCCTACTGTCAATGACTACAATGCTAAAGATACCGTTTGAAATGTGTACTACTTTTTTTGTACTAAAGTTACATGTACCTTTACGCTGCATCTTCCTTGCAAGCCAGAGAGCGTCCTAAAATTCATCATTTTATCATTTTCCTCATCATCATCTGCTCTTTCGGAAGTTATTCTAAAATAATTTGGTATAAAAGCATTACACAATCATTTTTAAAGCAAGAAAAACATGAAGATTTCTTCGTGGATAAAAACTAATATTCCTGGAGGTCAACGCCAGAGGGTGATTTGAATTCAGCGATAAATCTTAAGAAACAAGCTTGGCGCGGTGTCATGCTCTTTTCCCTAAGCCCATATTGCTAGAAAACTGTTGCCTCGTGTAGTCAGGTGATTAGTACATAACATAAAAAACAAGAAAACATTGACGTAACCATCAATTGTCGCCCGAGAAATATATATAGTAAACAATGGAAATGAGTCTTGATCATGAAATCGCTTCGATATGTGTTTATCTCTGTTGAGATTCTGCTGTGCTAGATATTTGGACTGACGCGGTAGTCAATCCAAATATCTAGCAGAGCAGAACATGCAGAATCTCAACAGGGATTACGATATGTGTGAAAAGGCATGCGTCTAATTGATGGAGACGATAGTCGCGAATATCTTGAAAACTTATAGTCGGATAAATATCAAACAAAGACAGTGTCATTTTTAACTTCAATTCCTCGAGTATATGTACCCTAGAAAACATTTGTTATTGGCAACAGCGTGGATTTTGGACGGACCTGTCTTATCTTGGTCGTGATGGTGTACACATAGAGGGAACATCCAGGCACATGAAAAAATACCTCTACAGCATTCGTATTGCAGTTCTTTACCATTCCAGATAAGTCAGTGTTTTTATAAATTGAATTAACTCTATTACATGTCAAAATTCAAGTATGGTTACACGCAGAGAAGTGTACATTAATTTAGTCTCAGGCCGAGTTGTCTGATTCAGTTTAAGCGTATTACATAAACTATGTTTTGTGTATTTTTCTATCTCACTTTGTTTACACCATTCTACATTTTGCTAACCGTGCATCACCGTAACGCTGTGTATAATTTATACATGTTACTCTTAGGGTTATAACTGCTTTTATATATTAATGCTATGTATAATTAGAAATAATTGCAACTAATTATACTATTGATTTTAGTTAATGTAAATGCTAACAAAACACAAAAACAATTACGTTTTCTTGTTGGCATTCTTCCTCTCTTCTTCAAAATCAGCAGCAACACTACACCACTCTTGATTTTCCTCATAGCTACAGAATATACAATAATAAAAAGTATCAAGCTTGTTCTATAACTGTCAAATTTATAAGTTTCTAAATGATTTTGCATTGCGTATTAACAGACTACATACAGCACCAATCAGGCCAGCTTTAAAAAGCAGTCTCTGAATTGCTGTGTGAACGCTATGAGACTGCTGTAGAAAGCATACCGAGCAGCCCAATTCATCCCCGAGATAACTGTCTTGCGCTTCTATGTTTACTGGGTGAAAAAGGTTCAGAGTGACATGTTAAATGATGTATTCTGAATTGCATACACTCTATTGTTGTTTTGTTTAATTCTAGCAAAGAGGTGATTTAAACGAAAAATTGAACATTAATTCTATAAAAATTTTAATAAAAAGTGTTGGGTAAAATTACTTTATGTCTTCAGGGCTTGTAAATTTTCACTATTGAAATCTAGAAGTACTTGTAATGGCAGTAATTTAAGCTATATCCTATGGGCCTCTTCGCTCATCTGGACACATTGGCTCGGTAAAACACAAATCAGTCCAATATTTAAACTTTTACAAGGATAGGGGGCTTGAAATTTTGAAATCAAAATAAAAAATGGCTTTGCTGTTCTTGAGCTGGAGAATTTAAACTATTTCCCTATATCTGTCTTTGTTTAATAAAAGTCCTCCATTGTGCCTTAGGATCATGAATTGAACAAATCTAAATCTACACCCCGATGAAATGACTTAAACAAAATCGAATCTACTTTATATGAGAATGATTTTATTTCAAGGTGACTAAATAGAGCTTTATTTCTCTTGATTACATTTTTTTTCCATAATATCCAATAAAAACTTTGATTCCCTATATTGTGACCCCAATCGAGCCCGATGGGGGGACTCGAACATGATTTTATGTAGACTGAAGAGAAGGTTTCCTACAAGTTCCATCTTTTTAGCTTGGTGATTCTTGAGACGATTTTATAAAATACCATAAAATCTTCAACTTTTCCTTACAACCTCCCCTTGAACGAGGGACATTGCTTTATTTAAAAAGTACGCATTAAGTAAAGAAGATAATATCGGGAATTGTGACTAAATATGTTGTTGAGTTATTTTTTATTTACTGATATGCTTCTTTTGTTTCCTCTTTTGTTTCCTCTTCTATTGTAACAGCTCTGTGAGGAGTTCCTGAAAAATCATTAATAGTAGACTGCGTCTGATCTTACTTAAGGCAGATGCCAAATTTTTTTTTCATTTTTCATTGATGTTTTTATGTATCACCGTTCATAATATCATCATCTTGTATTCTCTGATATAAGTTACGTACCTTTCGTTGCAGTATTTCCTTCTTTGTCTTCTTCGGCGGGTTCCAGCGTATGATCATTACATTTCTCTAAAGTATAGTATATTTTCAAAATAAAGAATTAATATACAACTGTTTCTTCTTTGATGCAAAATTATTAATTTTCACGTGGGTAACTTTTTGTTGTTATAGAGATATGGAGGGAGCCAGGAATTCATGAGCACCAGAAAATGTCAAATATATTAGGCATTGCTACTTAACATTTTTCTAGCCACGTGATAAAATCACCACATATCAATATATTTTCTTAAACCTCAAAAATTTGCCACGTATTTTAAAATACATTTATTTGCCTATTGAAAAAGAAAAAAAGGCAGCGCTTTAATTTATTCAAGCACATATGTTTCATGTAGTGTTCATTGAATAATTTTGTTTTTATCTATGATCGTTTACAAATGTAACATTATATGAAATCAGACATGAAGTAGAAAGGTGCAATAACATCTCTATTCAGATGTTTAATTTTACCCCTTCTTAATGCTAAGATAATAATAAACTAAATTTCTATCGCAACCATACAGATTAATTCTATATTCACCAGTGTCCTTCCGTCTAGATCTGCACCAGTCAAAAAACTTTTTTCTTTTAAATACCAAGACTATAATAATGGGCAGTAGAAGAGTTGTCATCACTAAAAAGCACAGGAGGCCAATCAATGCACTGTTGTTGCTATGTAACAAAAAAGAACATTTTCATGGTACTTTAAAGAAGCTTTTTTTTGCCTTTTTAAAGTCTTAGGTATCCGAAGTATCAGAATGTCGTATAAGCAATAATCTATTGCTTAATTTACATTAGCACAAATGTCAGTAAAAGGCATTTACAAAATATAAAGTAAAAAAACAAACAAAATAGTTTGACTTTTGTATCTAAAACTGTCATTTTTTTGTCCATTTATCTTCCAAAAAATTATTTTTTAATTCATTTTTTTGTACATCGTTTACATTCTACGTCGTTTGGTCTAAACCCATGTCTTAACATTTAATAGCTATTTTACATGTACTTGAAATAGTATTTTCTTGTATTGGACAACTTTACTTAAAATATAATCATTACAAAAACTCTGATTATTATATTTCTCAATTCATACATACGATTCTCTTTCAGAAGCTGGTGTTTTCTTCTCAATGATTTTTGATGGTGTAGACTGTTGAAGATAATCATAGCATCCTTGATCTGTAATTATGAGATATTTATTTAACCTCTCTCCCTCGTTCTTATTCTTATACATACACATGCACGCACAAACAATTAAGATAATTCATATTTTGAATATATATCGCACAATTTTTTTTACATTTAA